AGGGTGCACAGAGTCTGCAGATATTCCACAATCGTGTCTCCTCCTTACCTACCCCCACCCACCCCACCACCCGACTCCCCACAGAAGAAGGCTGCACTTGGTTGTGTGGGCAAAGGGGAGCCATGGCAGGTCCTTGAGGTGGGGAGTCACCAAGATCCAATAAAGCACAATAGGAAGGGTTTAGCGCCAGGAGGTGGATTTAATTAGCCTGATGTTACAGGAGAGGAAACTGAGGCACAGAGAGGGGAAGTTCTTTGCCCAAGATCACACAGCTACAAAGTAACCGTGCTGGAATCTGAACCCAGGTCTTTCTGACTCCAGGCCTCTCAGTCACAGGGCCTATCCATTCCCCAATCCGAGAATCTGGGAGGCACCCCCAGCCCTCCACAGCCCACTGTGCAACCACCTTCTTGGGAGGGATGAGCATCTCCCCTGGCGCCCTAGCACCTTCCGTGCCTACCCCCGCATGAGTCACTCCCCGGAGCCAGAGTGAAAGAACCCACCTCCTGGGGGAGTTCTCCGTGTGAGTGCATTTCGGGTTCCCGTCTTAGTCACCACTTCTCTTGGTTCCCACCCCTCCCCCCAGCTGCCAGGGGCCTCCAAGTCCCCAGCCACCCGTGCCACCCCCATCGGGCTCAGGCCCCGACCATGGTGCAGCTTTGGCGGTGGGGCAGGTGACGCTGAATCCTGAGATGCGGGCAGGGCGACTGGGGGGCAGTAGGCCCCATAACCACTGCTGGCTTCCCTTAACCTAAGTGAAAGCTGTGAACTTGTCAGGTGGACAGTCGCACTACCATAAACAGCCAGCGTTTCTAGAGCACTGACTTCAGCCAGGCCCTGCTCGGAGCCCTTTGCGTCTATTAAGACATGTAATCCTCCTACAAGCCCATGAGGCCCTGGCGTCCCTGTTTTATAGCTGAAGCAATCAAGGCTCAGAGAGGGAAGTGGCTTGCCCAAGGTCACAGAGCCAGCAAAGGACAGAGCAGGGAGTCCCACTCAGGCAGCTGGACTGCCTCCATGACGGGCATTCCCGCACCGATGCTGTCCCAAGGGCCGGGCCAGGCTGAGTCCTTGCCCGGGGCCTGGTCCTGCACGTTGAGCCCAGCCCAGCCAGAGCCCCTGAGAAGGGCGAGCAGGGGCCAACCCTCCGGGGAAAGGCACCAGCTCTACTCGGCCTGGGTGAACTCTGGGTCAGGCCACGTGCAGCCTCCCCAGGTTGCCAGGCTGGTCAGCCTCCGGGCCTTTGTAGATGGTTTCCTTTGCTTGGAACACCCTCCTCCTCCTCTCCATGGACCAGTCCCCTCTCCCATACAACTCAAGGCGGCGGCACCTCCTCTAGGAAGCCCTCTGGGATGCGCCCCCCCCCAGAACCCTACACTTCCCCTAGGAAGTCCCAAATCTGCCACTTGTTTGCTGTGACCTTAGGCAAATTACTGAGTCTCTCTAAACCTCACTTTATTCATCAACAAAATGGGGCCAATGATAACTCGAGGGGTTTTTGCAAGGATGAAGAGATAAGCCTGGCTGATAACAGGACGGGGCCCACGGTAGATGCTCACTCCACACTCCACGGGCTCATCTTCTAGCACTGATTTGTGTACACTGGGTTGTAACCGTTTGCATCTGCCCCTCCCTCTGGACCAAGTGTTCTGCAAGAGCAGAAATGGTGTCCTGTTTCTGAGCTTGTCCCAGATCCCAGCGCATGGCCTGTCCGGTGGGACATCTCAACACATATCCTATTTACTGGCTGAACGGCCCAGGGCCCAGCTTCCTGCTTGCGACCGGTGCTGAGGGCTGGGCCCAGCGCTCACTGAGCAGTCAGGCCGGGCTTGGCCCGGACCGGGAGTTGCCCCTTCCTGGAGGTGTGACCTCGGGCAAATCATTTATTTTCTTCTTTAAGATTTACTTATGTATTTATTTGAGAGAGAGAGAAGGCCTGAGCTGGGGGCGGGGAGGGGCAGAGGCAGAGGGAGAAGCAGACTCCCTGCTGAGCAGCGAGCCTGATGTGGGGCTCGATCCCAGGACCCCGATCATGACCTGAGCCGGCTGAGCCACCCGGGTGCTCCGGGCAAATCATTTAAATTAACCTCTCTGCAACTCCTTGCCCTGGATGGCCAAGTGGGGATGACAGTAGTCCTGCCTCCAAAGGCTTTCAGGGGGATTCACTGGACTGGTGCTTAGAAAGCGCTGAGGCCGGGCCGGCCCGCAGTGGGTGCTGTAGGAGTGTTGTTGAAATGAGTAGCTGCCTCCCCTGCACCTTCCAGCCTGTTCTGTAAACACTTGGCCAGTTCTCAAGTCCCGCCCTGGGGACCTCGGGGTCGGGGTCCCGAGGAGCCCCTTTCCAGCCGCCTCCTCCTTCATGCCCCGGCCTGGCGGCCTGGCGGTTCCAGTTGTCCCCAAGGCTCTGCTCACAGCTGCGGCTGGTGGTTCTAGCGTCTGGGGCCAGGGGCTCCGTGTATGGAGCCAGGAGGACGGTCCGCGGAATCCAAGAGCAGAAGAAGACCGTGGAACCTTGTCATCTGGCCCAACCCAGTTTTCTTGACTCTGACTCCCCACTGCCCCTGACAATGTAATCAAGACAGGTTGGGGGAGGGGCGCCTGGGTGGCTCAGTCGTTAAGCATCTGCCTTCGGCTCAGGTCATGATCTCAGGGTCCTGGGATCGAGCCCCGCATCGAGCCCCACATCGAGCCCCGCATCGAGCCCCACATCGAGCCCCGCATCGGGCTCCCTGCTCCGCGGGAAGCCTGCGTCTCCCTCTCCCCCTCCCCCTGCTTGTGTTCCCTCTCTTGCTGTGTCTCTGTCTGTCAAATAAATAAATAAAATCTTAAAATAAAAAAAAAAAAAGACAGGGTGGGGGAAATGCAGTCCAAACCCGTGATGTTTCAGTCACATGGAAGGCTGAGTCCCAGATTGGAGGACTTGGTGTCACACGAGGCTTGCCTCTGGGCTGCCCTGTGGAACCCAGGCCCACAGGGCCGCTGAGGGGTGAGTAGGAGCCTGCTAGAGTGACGACACAGGTTGGCGGGGGCAGGAGGGGGGAACTGGGACTGAGCTGAGGCTGGTTACCGCTTCAGTCCCATCCCCCACCCCCCCCACCTGCCCCAGTGGCAGGGAGACGGGAGTGCTGTGGTTTCCCCTGCAGCTTTGACGCTTCTTCATGCTCGCTCTGCTGTGGCTCTTCAGGCCTCCTGCTCGAAGCCCAGTTGGGTGCCAGCTCCCAGCTCCAAGGTCAGGTCACCCCTGAGAAGAGTGAGCCTCCCTGGTGGTGAGCACCAGCCAGCAATTCCTCCCAGCTTCCTTCTGCGTCCCCATCGGAGCCTGCAAACACTTCCGGAAGGCCTCTTCACTATACAAAGGATGTGGGATACCCCGGCCCCCTTCCCCCCAAATGCCCTCCCGTTTGCCCTCTCTGCCCTGTCCCCTTCATGCCTGTGGGTGGGCTTGTCGGATAAGCCATAGGACACTGGTTAAATTGGAATTTCGGACAACCGACGAATAATGTTTTGACATAAGTATGTCCCAAATATTGGATCTGGAATTTTTATTTGCCAAATCTGGCGGTGTAACTCGGGGGCCTAGCGAATCCAGCTATGGAGAGGGGTGCTGGTCCCCCTTTCCCTCAGAGGCACCAAACTCCTTGGGGACCCTCTCTCTGCATTTCTTTCTCTTCCCTCTGCCCTCCCTCCTCCCCCCGACCCTCCAACTGGCCCCAAGGACAAGTAGGGAGGAAAACCTCCACCAACTCAAATGTTCTCTCGGCATCCCCTTTCCAGCTCACTACAGTTCCTCTCCTCACACTCGGCCTCCCCTCCCCAGGCCCCTCTGTTCACACCTGGCACAACACTTTGAACTGGCAGTTTGGGCTCTGTGTCTCCATTCCCAGCTGCTTTTGTGGGGGGTGGTAGAAAACAGAACCCTCAAGTGAATAGGCCACCACAAATCAACCCTCCAAGCTAATCCGCGGCACACACGTCCTCTGCTCTGAATCCCATTACAACCTGCCCATTTCACAGATAAGAACACTGAGGCCCAGAGAGGTTGAGCCCTCCCCCCAGGTCACACAGCTGGTGGAGTGGAAGACTGGGGGTCTCTTTCAAGGGCCCCAGGGATGCCCAGAGTGGGCCCCTGCCTCCTCGGAGACCTGTCTTCCCTGCAGCCGCTGTGCAGACCCTGGAGGAAGGGGCTGAGCCGTTGAAGCCCCAGGTCCCCCTGGGTCCCCTAGGCCTTTTCACACGGGACCTGGTGCTGAAGCTGCCTGGTGAAGCCTCATCCCACCCCCCTCTGCAGCTGGGCCTCTGTGACATTTCCTCTCTGAGGATCAGCCACAGCCGTGCTGGGCTGGGGGAGAGGGAGGAAGAGGAGGCCCCTCACACCCATGGGAACCCAAAGTCTGACTGCTCGAGGTGGCCAGCCCCGAACGTGTGGGGCTCAGGAATGGGAAGACCCCTTTCGGAACCAGTGCAGCTGGGCAAGTCATTTCTCAGCTTTAAGTCTCCATTTCTTCATCCAAAAATGGGGTCAACGATATTTTACATCACAGAGCTGATGGGAGGATTCAAAATGGCCTTCGGAGCTCCTGGCTGATTCAGTCAGTGGAGTCTGCGACTCTTGATCTCAGGGTTGTGAGTTCAAGCCCAATGTTGGGCATAGAGTTCACTTAAAAATAATAAAATAAAATAAGGGGCGCCTGGGTGGCTCAATCAGTTAAGCACCCGACTCCTGATTTTGGCTCAGGTCATGATCTCAGGGTCTGAGCCCTGCACTGGGCGTGGAGCCTGCTTAAGATTCTCTCTCTCCCTCTGCCCCATCCCCGCCCTCCCCCCAAAAAAGAAAAGTGAAATAAAAAATATTTTTAAAAATGGTTTTAAATCATAAAAATTAATGGTTAGCACTTAGGACGTATTATATAGCAGACACTGTTCTAGGCACTTTACATAATACATAAAATTACTTAATCCTCTCAACCACCCTAGGAGGTAGGTACTATTATTATCCCCACCTTACAGATGAAGAAACTGAGGCAGAGAGTTGAAGTCGCTGCTGGAGTCAGTAATTCAAACTGAAGGCTCGAGGGTCCAAGCTATTGATGACTACAGCTTCCTTGTTAAACAGCACAGAAGTATTCCTCCAAATCAGGGATCACCAACTGAAACGGCCCCTGACGAAACAGATGTCATGGAACAGAGCAGAAAATCCAAAAACAGGCCAGGGGAATTTTGAGGATGCAGCACCATTTCAGATGAGTAAAGAAAATATGGATTATTCTCTAAGTGGCGTTGGGACAAGGTTTTGCCACCTGAAATAAATAAATAAATAAATAAAAGCCTGCTCCGTACCTCACACCTTATACCAAGGATAAATTAAAGATTTAAATGGAAACAATAAACCACTACGTAAAAATTTAAAAAACAAAAACAAAAAAACTTCTCATAGCAAAAGCCCCAGTGATATAAACAGCAATAGAGAGGTAATACAGGCGGGCTTGCTTTGTGAAGATTCATCAAGCTGCGTACTTCTGATCTGATACTTTGCCGTGTATGTTATACTTTAGAGGTCTTTGTGTTTGTTCTGTTTTGTTTGTTTGTTTTTATAAAAAGGGCCAAACTGGGAACACAACAAACTGGGAAAATATATTTGCTCCCTCAAATAACAAAGAGTTAATTTTCCTAATATGTAAAGTGTTTCTAGAAATAAACAAGAAAAAACTACTCGAAAAAGTGACAATGTATACAAATGGGTCACAGAAAAGAAAATACAGATGACTTTTAAACACATAAAGAGATGCTCATTTCTTCGTGAAAAGAGAAATGCAAATTAAAACTGCAGCTAGATGCCTGACAGTTTGGCAAAAAGTTAAAGAGTTCAATAGCATTCTGAGTTGGCAAGGATGTGGGGAGACAGGCGCTGTCGGATATTGTTTGTGGGGGTGTCAGCCGGCCCCCTCCCCTGAAGGGGAATTTGCCAATATCTATCAAAATCACACATGCTTGTTCACTTTGACCCAATGACTCCACTTCTAGGGATTCGTTATACAGAGATACTCCCACATATGATAAATGCCTTATGTATAAGGTTGTTCACTGTGACTTTTTTGGGGTTTTTTTTTTTTTGGCAAATTACTGAAAACTATCTAAAATGTCCATCCCCAGGGTGGGGGTGGAGGGTTGGGGTAACTGGGTGATGGACATTAAGGCGGGCACGGGATGGAATGAGGACTGGGTGTTATTTAAGACTGATGAGGGCACCTGGGTGGCTCAGTCGGTTAAGCGTCTGCCTTCAGCTCAGGCCATGATCCCAGGGTCCTGGGATCGAGCCCCACATCAGGCTCCCTGCTCAGCGGGGAGTCTGCTTCTCCCTCTGCCCCTCCCCCTACTCAAGCTCTTGCTCTCTCGCTCTCAAATAAATAAATAAAATCTTTTTAAAAATAGAAAGACTGATGAACCACTGAACTCTACCTCTGGAACTAATAATACACTTTATGTTAATTAATTGAATTTAAATAAATTTTTAAAAATAAAATTAAAAATCAATCAATCAATCAATCAAATGTCCATCCCTGGAGAACTAGTGAAGGCATATCCATATAATGGTAAACTATGCAGCTATAAAAAGGAATGGGTCCCCGGTGATGCTGTGAAGCTGGCATGTCTCCCTGGACTGCTCACCTCACAAGGTCCCTACATCCACAGGTACTCTGCTTACATGGTGGATGCTGCAGATCTATCTGTATATTGTGACCATTTTCTGGAATACACTTATTCTTATTTGAACAAAATCAACATATGACAACAGTGTTCCAACAAGTGGAAATAAAGTCTCTGGGAAACGGAGCATCTTTTTCTAATTTGTACAAAGACTCAGAAGCCTCTCTCAAGTCTTTTTTTTTTTTTTTTAAGTCATCTCTACACCCAACATGGGGCTCAAACTCCCACCCCCGAGATCAAGAGTTGCATGCTCCACCGACTGAGCCAGCCAGACACCTCCCTCCAGTCTTTTTTTGTTTTTTTAACACCCAAGAGAATTAGACTATTATTTTGCCTGAGCTACCATAGTCAGGTCTCTGTTGCTTACAGTCAAATTTAATTCTAACCGATAGAGCAACTAATTTTTTTAAAAATTTTAAATAGAGGGTCATCTGGGTGGTTCAGTCAGCTAAGCATCCAACTCTTGATTTTGGCTCAGGTCATGATCTCAGGGTCATGAGATCAAGCCCTGAGTCGGGCTCCACACAGAGGATAGAGCCTGCTTAAGATTCTCTCTCCCTCTGCCTCCCACCCCACTCACGCTCTCTCTCTTTCTTTTTTTAATATTTTATTCTTTTAAAAGATTTCATTTATTTGTTTGTCAGAGAGAGAGAGTACAAGCAGGGGAAGTGGCAGGCAGAGGGAGAAGCAGACTCCCCACTGAGCGGGGAGCCTGATGCGGGGCTCGATCCCAGGACTCCGGGATCGTGACCTGAGCCAAAGGCAGACGCTTAACCAACTAAGCCACACAGATGCCCCTCACACTCTCTCTGTTAAAAAAAAAAAAAATTAAATAGGAAAAAATTCATCTTAAATTCATATAGAATCTCAAGGGACCCCAAATAGCCAAAATAATCTTGAAAAAGAAGAAGAAAGTTAGAGGTCTCACGCTTCCTGATTTCAAAACGTATTACAAAGCTATAGTAATCCAAACAGTGTGGTAGAGGCATAAAGACAGACATATAGACCAAAGGAATAGGATAGAGAGTCCAGAAATAAACCATCGCATACATGGTCACATGATCTCCACCAAGGGTGCTAAGACCACTCAATGGGGAAAGGAGAATCTTTTCAACAAATGGTGTTGGGAAAACTGGATATCCACGTTAAAAAAAAAAAAAAAAGTTGGAGCATTACTTAACACCATATATGCAATTGAACTTAAAATGGATTAAGATCAGGGGCTCCTGGGTGGCTCAGATGGTTAAGGGTCTGCCTTGGGCTCGGGTCGTGATCCCAGGGTTCTGGGATCGAGCCCCATGTCAGGCTCCCTGCTCAGAGGGTAGCCTGCTTCTCCCTCTCCCTCTCCCTCTACCCCTTTCCTGCTTGTGCTCTCTGTCTCAAATAAATAAAAATCTTTTTTAAAAGATAGGAGAAAATATCTGCAGATCATACATCTGAAAAGGCGTTAATATCCAGAATATATGTAAAGAGCTCCTACAAATCAACAACAAAAAACCAAAAAACTAGATTTTAAAAATGGGCAAAGAATTTGAATAGACATTTCTCCAAAGACAATACCCAAATGGCCAAAATGCACATAAAAAGATGTTCAGGGGCACCTGGATGGCTCAGTCGGTTGAGCCATCAGGCTCTTGATTTCGGCTCAGGTCATGATCTCAGGGTCATGAGATCAAGCCCCACAATGGGCTCCATGCTCAACATGGAGTCTGCTTCACATTCTTTCTCTCCCTTTCCATCTGGCCCTTACCTAACCGCTTGCACTCTAAATAAATAAACAAACAAATAAATAAATAAAATATTTTTTAAAAAGGAAAAGATGCTCAACATCATTCATTAGGCAAATGCATATTAAAACCACAATGAGATATCACCACATATACAATGACTACTATAAAAAAGTAGAAAATAAAAAGAGTTGGCACAGCCTCAGAGGAATTGGAACGCTTCTGCCCTGTGGGTAGGAATGTAAAATGGTGCAGCCACGATGGAAAATAGTATGCCATACTTAAAAAAAAGAAAAGGAAAGAAAACTAGCTTTACCATAGTGATCCAGCAATGCTACTTTGGGTACATACCCAAAAGAATTGAAAGCAGAGTCTGGAAGGGATATTTGCACACCTGTGTTTATAACAGCATTATTCACAATAGCCGAGGGGTAGAAGCAACACTGAGAGTCCACCAAAGGATGAATGGATACACAAAATGTGGTGTATACGTACACACTGGAATAGGATTCAGCCTTAGCAAGGAGGGAAACTGTGTCACCTGCTACAACATGGATGAATCTCGGGAACATGCTAAGCGAAATAAACCAGCCACAAAAAGACAAATAGTACACGATTCCAATTATATGAGGTCCCTAAAGTAGTCAAACGCATAGAAACAGAAAGTAGAAGGGTGGCTGCCAGGGGCTGGGGGAGGGGGACACGAGAAGGTGTTGTTTAATGCATACCGAGTTTTCATTTTGCAAGAAGAAAACGTTCTGGAGATCTGTTGCACAACGATGTGAATATACTTAACACGATTCAACTGCACCCTGAGAAATGGCTAGATGGTTGCATTTTCTGTTATGTGTGTGTTTTTTTTTACCACAATAAAAAAAAAATTAAATGCTGCGGCGGGCCACTGGTTTGCAATCTCTCCTGTAGACAGTGCTCCCCCCGCACCCCCCCAAGGGCCGGGCATGTACCACTTGCTTGGACAACAAGGACCGTGGGGGAACTTGTCACGTAAGGGCTGACAGGCTTAAGCTCTCTTTTACTTGGTTCATTCGACAACACTTACCAGGTGAGCCAAGCTCCAGGCCCTGGAGCGACAGAGATGAGTGGGGAGCTCCCAGTCTGGAGGGGACAAGGACAGAAGGTGAACTCATGAAAAGATCAGCTTTGACGATACCAATTCAATGGGGTTGCAGGATACAGGGTGACTGCGAGGGCACGAGATTATAGGGAACGGACCAGAAGGGCTCTGAGAAGGGGAACTTCATCTTGAGATCCCAGTGACAGAAGCTTGGGGGCCTGTGAGGATGTGCAAGAGCTCCAGGTGGAGGGAGAGGGAGGGCAGGGACCTGGAGGCAGGGGCAGGCCTGGAGGGTGTGCGGTGGGTAGGGGCAGGGAGGCCTGACTCAGGAGCCTCTGCGGGGAGGATGGCTCAAGTGCTCTCAGCAGCCCTGTGTGCAAGAAACAGATAAAGCCCAGTCTTCTATTGGCATAAATTTGCTTTGTGAGTTCAAATGTATCATTCTCTTTTATGACCAAAAAAAAAAAAAAAAAAATTAGAACAATAAACTATATTTTCCTAGAGTAAACAGACAGCCCTCAAGCTCTTGTATTCGCCTCCACACATCCAATAGCTGCTGAATCTCTGAATTAGCTCCTTGGCATGATTTAAAAACCACTGATCTGCCTGGGCCCCGTTACCCCCATTCGGCAGATGGGTGTACTGAGGCCCAGAGCGGGGAAGGAGCTCCAAGCAAGCCCAGGGCTGAGCAGGAGTTGGGTCTGGAGGTGAGGGGTGCCTGACTCCCAGGTCAGGGGTCTTACTGGGGCACGGGACGGCCCTGGGCCCTGCTTCCTTTATGGGGAGAACCTGCTCCCCAACCTTTGGGCAGTCTGGACATGGGTGTGAGGCCTGGGAGGGACAGCTGGGGGTCAAGCCAGTGGCTCGCTGGCTGGGCTGGGGGTGTCTGGGCACCCTGGCAGCAATAGCCTCCTGCTCAGAGGACCATCCCCTCACTTGCTGCTGGGCGTCCAGGCCCCCTTAGCCCTCTCCCATGATCCTCTGGGCCTGGCTCCCCCTCCTGGGAATCTCTGCATCAGACAGCCCCCGTTGGTGTCTAATGCTTGCTCCCAGGATCTCCAAAGGAGCTGGATGGCTTCTCAGACTTCAGTGCCATGGCAGTCCTCCCACAGTCTGTGTGGTGGCTGCTAGGGTCCCAGCCCGGCCACCGACAGGCCGTGTGGTTTGGGGCAGGCGGCCATGAGCCCGGCTGGGAGGGACGTGGCAGAGCCGCTAAAGGGTCCTCAGTCTCTCTGGGTTTCCTAAGACTCCATCCTGAATCCACACGGAGGACTTCCTACCACACCCATAGCTGCCCGAGCCGATTTTCTTATTAGTGCTCTTTAGAATGACTTCCTTTTTATTTTTTTTATTTTATTTTTTTAAGATTTTATTTTTATTTGAGAGAGAGTGAGAGAGAGCATGAGCTGGGGGAGAGGCAGAGGGAGAAGCAGACTCCCCGCGGAGCAGGGAGCCCGATGCAGGGCTCGATCCCGGGACCCTGGGATCATGACCTGAGCCGAAGGCAGACGTTTAACCGACTGAGCCACCCAGGCGCCCCAAAATGACTTCCTTTTTAAACTGAAATTCATTTCCAAGACAACGAAATGGAAAACCAGTGTTGCTTGCCCTAAGTTAAAACAAATCCAGCAAAACCAAATCAAATTAAATTCCATAGAGCTGCCTGCTCGGGGCGCCGAGCTTGAGGTTTTCTCCCTCTGTTGAGGGGAAGACAGAGCAGCGAGGGTTTCGGGGTGTCGAAGGGCAGAACCCAAAAGAGCCTCTGTCTGTAACCAGAATCGTTGAGAAGAAAACGACTTTGTCTCCCCAGGGGATTTAAGGCACGTTCATGCTGCCTCTGCACGAAGGGGCACCTCTAGGGCACATCCAGACTGTGGCGACCACCTGTCTCCTCCAGAGTCCTGGCGCATAGAGGGTTCCTAGCTGTGTGACCTTGGGTGGGTCACTCAACCTCTCTGTGCCCAGTTTCCCCATCTGTAAAATAAAGTTGGTAACAGTACCCACCTCACAGGGGCGTCGTGAGGATTAAAGCAGTTAAACACAGAAGCTCCCCACCCCCACCCCGTAGAGATGGGAGAGAATGAGGTGCAGGGAGGGGAAGGGACGGGCTCAGGAGCACCTGGGAGCCTCCCTGCTCTCAGCCTCTCTCAGCCCCGGCCAGCCTCACCCTCAGGCTCCCCTGCACATGCCCTCCCTCCTGTCGCTCATCCCCAAGTCCCCTGAGCCCCTCCCTGCTCTGGCCAGGCTGCTTGATTGACTTCTCGCACCAACCCTGTGAGGGAGCTCGCTCATCAGGCCCAGTCCACAGAAGGGGGCATTGAGGCCCAAAAAGGGGACATAATTCCTCTGTCTCTGTGTGCACCACACAGAGGGTAGGAGGAAGACGCAGGGGGTTCTGGGCTCCCCCACCCCCATCCAGCCCCAGCCGCCCCCCCACGCATTATCTCTAGGCCGCAGCAGCTGAGCCTCCCAGTATCTCTCTAATCCCCCAAATTTCCGGTTCCCCAAAGACAACTCAGGATGTGGGGAGGGAGGGGCAGGGAGAGGAGGAGGGAGACAGAGAACGAGAGAGAGATCACAGAGAGAGACAGCCACAGAGAGATGAGAGAGACAGAGACACAGAGAGGAGAGAGACGATCGGAGACAGAGAGCCGCACAGAGACAGAGAGACAAGGCAGAGAGACAGATGAGAGACAGCGCTTCCAAGACAGATGAGCAACAGAGGGAGACAGGCGAGATGGGGAGACACAGGTGGAGAGAGGGAGCCAGAAAGGGGAGGGGTGCCGCAGACACAGACCCGCAGGGAGACGTGAGCGGAGGCCAAGAGTCTGAGGCTGAGGCAAAACTGAAAGTGGCAAGTGGGAGAGGGAGTCAGTCGGTGTCGGGGGGGGAGGCACGAGGTGTTGGGGGGCATCCGGAAACAAAGGAAAGTGGTGAGTGCGGGAGCCAGGTGGGAGAGGGTGAGGAAAGCTCAGAGACCCGCTCAGGTGTACAAGGAAGCAGCCGGGGACAGGGACCCAAACACGTAGGCCAGAGGGGCCCAGGGGAAGGAGACCAAAAGCCCCACTTCCCCCTCTTTCTTGGAGTCCCCACAGGGCCGCAGACGCTGCACGCATCCACCCACTGGGCTCAGGAAGCCCTGTGTCCTCGAGAAAAGGGACTGTGTTCAGGCCCAGCCCCTGCAGCCCCAGAGCCAGCAAGCCCTGGAGACGTCCAGCGGGTGTGCTCTGAGTGGACTCAGCTGCCCACCCTGCTCAGGGACAGAGGGGGGTGAGGCCTGTGGAGGGACCTCGTGGGCACAGAAGAGGCACTTGGGAGCAGGGGTGGCCTGGCTGCTCAGGGAGGGAGTGCCAACACCCTGCTTGGTCTGGCCACCTGCCCTCTGTGAGCCTCAGCTTCCTCATTTGTCCAAGGGTGGTCATGAGAAGAACGTACGCAGGGCCACGGTGAAGGTCAAACGTGTGAAGTGTGTGGCACGGCGTGACATATGTAGGTGCCTGAAGGTGGGCCTGTTGAAGTTGATGCTCCACAGCATCCTGTCTAGATGAGTCAGGGCCCTTTCATTTGCAAATGACAGAAACCCAGCTGGATGGAGCTGAGCCAAGTGAAGGAAGGGTGTTGATAAACTCAAATAACTGAACCGTTCTTGGGTGGATCCAGTTTCGGGCACAAATGGATCCAGGACCTCAACCCACATTCCCAAGAACCTGTCTCCCTGGCATGGCACTGCTCACCTCTGTTCTGCCTTCTCTCTCTTGGGCGCCCTTCGCGTGGTGGCCTTTGGCGGCTCCAGGCTCATGTCCTCCCTGTTGGCTGGTCCCAGAAGACAGAGAGAGAGAGAGCGCATGCCTTATTTCCCAGAGTTCTCGCAAAAGTCCCTGTGCAGAGCACAATTTACTCTCTGTGGAATTTCTCTTTTGGTTTGCCTCTTTGTTTTCTCCTTTTGGTAAAAGTCTAACATTTAACCAGAACGCAGCCTCCCTTCCCCCACCCCAAAGTAGGCTGTGCTTCCATAAATAACTTTGGAATGTGCTGTGTGACCTTAAGCAAATCACTTAACCTCCCTGAACCTGTTTTCTCTTCTGCAAGGAGGGCTCCTACCTTACATAGACAGGAGTGTAGTGAGATGCACTGAAATGATGGGTGTGACACAGTGCATCTCAACAGCCATCCTCCTTCCTACCAGCAACAGCCCCTCAGCTTGGGAGCCTTCCCATCTCCAGTCCCTCAGAATTGGGGGTGCAGTGTATGACACAGGCCTAAGTCAGTCAGCACACGGCATTGTCCCGGCCAGCAACTGGTTCAGGGAGTCACGTGCCCCAAGCTAGGGCAGGTAGAGGAGTGTGGGGCTTTTGGGGGAGAGGCTCAGACGGTGCGCTCCCCAGGCTGGGAACGCAGAAGCACGTGGTCTCTGGAGCGGCTAGAACCGTCACGTGACCACACAACGGGAGCCTACAAATGGAGGCACTAGAGAAAGGAGGGCTGAAGAGAAACTAGAAGGTGGTGATAATATTCAGGCCTCTGATTCCAGCCACCCCTGATCATTTCCTACCTTCTCAGCAACCAGGGATCCCATCCTTCTACTTCCGGGGACACCTTTTGGGGCTATGGACCTCAGAATGAGAAGGTTTTACAACTGAGGTCCAACATCCTCAAAGGTCCCCAAAGTTCAGAAATCTAGTGGCGGAGTCGAGACTAAAATGAAGTCTCCTCGCTTGTATTCCAGTGCGCTTGCCACCAAACGTGGTCCTCTTTCTGGAATCCTTGCTCATCAACTCCAAGACTAAGAATACCAAGTAAACAAAGCAGAAGTAAGGAAAACCTGGAGAGATTTTCCTGAGGGGATCAAAGAGGGGGAAATGGGATGCGGGGCACGCACGAGGGAGGGGTGCCTGGGACAGATGGGCCACCTGCCTTAAAGTCTTCTCCAGGGTGTCTCTGAGAAGCAGTTAGAAGAGGTGGAGGGTGAGGGAACAGGCGAGTCTGGAGTTTTCTCACATGGGTTACTAGGTACTCATCATTAGACCAGGGTGGCCTGATGGTGGTCACGATCTGGTGGACATGACAGCAGCCGTGGTGATGTTAGAAATCGTTCTTCTGCAAGTGACAGGCAGCCTGGCTCAAATTAGCCTAAGCACACACATAAAAAAGTCGATTGGCTCTTCAAGAAGTAATGGCTTCAGGCACACTGATCTGGGTGCTTAGACGGGCTATCAGAACTCAACTTTTCTATTTCCATTTGTGTCCTCTGCTTGCCTCTGCGGTGCCTTCACGCACAGGTTTGCACAACGGAAGCCTGCAAACCCCGCAAGCGGGGACCTCCCCCTCGGCCTTTCGCCCGGGGCCCGAAGAGCTTCTCTTTGCCAGGAGTTCACCCAAAGTCTCAGGAACGTGTCTCATTGGCCTGAATTGGGTCACGTGTTCCAGTATCAACCAATCACTGGGCCAGGGGGTGGGAGATAACGGTTGGCCATCCTGGGTCCCGTGCGCATCCAAGCCCGCAGCCCCGCGGAGGCGCGGGAACATAGCCCAAAGCAAATCCAATGGCGGCGCGGCATTGGGAGGAGAAGGAATGGATGCTAGGAAGACGAAAACAAAAAATGCCCTCGGGATGCCTGGGTGGCTCAGTCGGTTAAGCGGCTGCCTTCGGCTCGGGTCATGACCCCAGGGTCCTGGGATCGAGTCCCACATCGGGCTCCTTGCTCAGCAAGTAGCCTGCTTCTCCCTCTGCCTGCTTCTGTCTCTCTCTCTCTCTGATAAATAAAATCTTAAAAAAAAAAAAAAAAGATAGACAATTGAACAGTATTTCTTAAAACAAAACAAAAGCCCTCTATAGAGGTTATAAGATGGTCTGCAGATTGCTAATAATAACTCCCCGCCCCCCAAGTCAAAGAAGTTCGGGAAATCCCAGATTAGGCAAAGAGAAACAGATTATTTTATCCCAGGATCTCTCCCGAGCCATGAACTTCCTACTGCGCGTTTCGTTTAGTCTCTGCAAGGGGGAATGAGAGAACGCTGCTTTTCCCTGGCGCTAGCGCTCCCGACCACAGAATTCTTTCTCGAGAAGCTTCCCCCAGGACTCAGAGGCCACAAGATGAGTTTGGGGAAAAACAACACCGAACAGCACAAAGAGCCCAAGCCATCACTGTCAGTGAGTCCTGGCCCAAGCTGCGGACACCTGCCTTCGTTGGCTCAAGGCTTGCTTTGGCCACCCGGAGCCAGAAATTCCGGAGAATTAGGTGGCGACTGCTGGGCAGAGATGTGGAAGTACCCCGCTCCCTCCCCAGGACGGCCTGGCCCACACCCACGTGCTCTGGTGTCACCCGCAGGCTCTCGCTGACTCCCAGTGCTGTCATAGGACCGTGCCCCAGGCCCAGTAGTAACTGGCTTTATAATGCACCCTTGTTGGATGCCTTCTTCTTCCTGTCCCACTCCCCTACTCCTCTGCCAGTGTTTTGGGACCACCTCCCAAATAAACCACTTGCGCTAGGACTCTCACCTCAAGGACTGCCTCTGAGAGAACCCAAATCAAGAGAGCTGTTGCCTACCGATAACGGTAGCCATTCTAGAAGCACCCAGATGTCTCCCCCAGTGATTCCAGAGAACACTCTCTCTTATCACTACATCGACCTTTCCTCCGACAACAGACTTCAAGAAAAAAATATTTATTTCTGCTCCCCAGCTTCAAGGGGATTCTTTCCACTGGCCACCCCAGTGGGCTCAGATACCCCAGCCCCAACCCCATAGACATCATTGCATTGACTGTCTGTCCTGCCTGGCCCATCGATTGGTGGAAGCAAAGCCACATGTTCTTGCTGGTCCAAGAAGCAAAAATGGGAAGCTGCTTCATGCTTCAGGGAATGCCCCTACCCCCAGTCCACCAAGAAAAGGACCAGAGTCACCTTGGACTTCCCCATGCCTCACAGTGCAGGGCTGTCACGCCCCTTGCTTCGGCCTCTCAAGGATCTCATTCTACGACCTCTCTTCATTGTCCCTCCTTCTTTAGCCAGCCTACCACCACCTTTCCTGTACATATTCCCAACAGCCTCCTCTTTGCTTCCACCTCAGAGCCTTTGCACATGCTGCCCCTGAGGCTGGAACATCATATACAACTCACCTGCTTGGCCCAGACAGATCCGTGACTCTCAGCCTGTTTACTGTCTCTTAAAACTACCCTAACCGCCCCCCCCCCCCCACCTATTCCCTCCTTGGGCCTCGGCCTCTATTATGAAATCGCTCAGATATGCAAACACTTAAGAGAATAGTATTTCAAACAGTTGCAAACCCAATCCTGCTTAAGAGTAAGACAGTACTTATCACTGAGGCCTTCCTGAATGCCTTCCCAACCATTCCGCACACTCGGCCACCTGATTGCCTCTCCCCTGGACTTGGTATTCCTCGTTGCTTTGCCTGTCTTGCATACGTGTGTATCCCTGAACCAGATATACCCGTTTTCAGGCTTTCAACTTCATATAAATAAAACAACTTGTTTTCCTGTTCTCACTCCATATTCTCTTGGTGATGTTTATCCGTGCTGACAGGTGCTGCCCCAGCGCGCTTTTCCCCGCGCTCATTTTTACCTGCTGGGGCGCATCCACCCACAGTGTGACCAGGCTATAAGTGCTCCACCTAGTCTCCCAGTGATCGCCTCTGTCTGCCCTTGCCCATCGCCATTGCAAGGCCAAGGCCGCCCCAGCCTCTGGTACCCGCCCCCTCAGTCCGCGGGCTATTCACTCAGGGTTTATACCCAGCAATTTGCTAGGTAAAGGGACCCACCATCTCCAGCCCTGCTGATGCTGCTAGATTGTTCTCCAAGGTGCTCGTACCAACATACCTTTTGATAAACTTTCTGCTCCTCGGCCCAGGCACAAAGGTGCCTCTTCCCTTGTCTGTTTCTTCCAAATAATCTCTGCCCGCTGACGTCCAGCCCATCCAGCCCTCTCCCCGGGCCTCCCTCCCCCACCTTTCCAGTCGGGCCCCTTACTAGCCTCCCTTGGAGAGCAGCCGGCGCTTTGGACAACCAGCCAGGGCAAGGACCTTGGCAGCAGGGACTCCAGAGGCCAACAGCTGCGGATGGAATCCCGGATTTACCACGTTGGCTGTGTGCCTTTGGGCAAATCGCTTCTCTCTGGGCCCGTTTCCCCACCTGTGAATCGGGATACCCCCAGTAAACCGCAAAGAGGGGAATGGCAGTGATTAAACGAGACAAGCATGGCAACATGGCAGGTGCTTGAAGAAGTTGTTACTATTGCCTTTCAAGCCCACAGAGGACGCCGACAACTCTGTGCATTCCTCTGGGCTACTTTGTTGTATGCAACAGAAACCCCAAGTCAAGCCGGTTGAAGACAACTGGGAATTTATTGGCCCACGTAACTGGGAAGCTGGAGGGGGTTTCTCGCTTCAGGTGTGCCTGGATCCAAGAATTCGGACTCCAACGGGAAGCTGGCCCTGTCCGCCTCTGGACCATTCTGTCCTCCACATCACCTTCATTCTCGGGCAGGCTCTCCAAGTAGGGGCTCTAGGAATATAGTCGTCCAGTTTACCAACTGCCATGAACAAGAAGAGCTTCGCCTTCCAGACACTTCCTGCCCAAATCCCAGGGCCGGTCCTCAGGGGCCCGGGTTTAGGTTACGTGCCCAGAGCAGAGCCAGTCACAGTGACCGAGGCATCCACCAGAAGCTGCTCAGAGTGTGGTTCCCGGAACAGAGCTGTCAGAAGCCTCTGGTAGCTCCTTTGAAACGCAGACTCTCAGGCCCCATCCCAGACCTACTCATTTGGAATCGGCATTTTAGCCAGACCTCCAAGGGAGTCATCTGCACACCAAGGTCAGGATGGCTGCACTGCACATTACCTTTCAATTGCCCGGGGTCCAGTCCGTCCCCTTGTTTTAAAGATGGAGAAACTGAGGGCAGGGGGGGGGAAGCTCTAGGCATCCACACGGCACCCGGGGCTCCCCCCGGCCCTGCCCCCCCATCATCCCAGCTGCGTCCATGGACTGTCTCATGGGGGGATGCACCAAAGCCCAGAAGTGGCAGCCTGGGTCGGACATGCCTCACGCCCGAGTGCCAGAGCCGTGTCCCTGCCACCATTCGGCCACTCCCAGTCCCGGGTCAGGACCTTCCAGAGCGCAGCGGCCCCGGGGTGGGGGATGGAGACCCCCAGACACACACACAGGCTCGTGCATACACACACTCCCACACGGGCGCTCGGGCACAGCCCCCCCTCACACGGACTCTCACCCACCAGGCCCCCCAAAAGCAAGAGCGCTACAGACCACGTCAGCCTTTATTCTACTGCAGAATAGGGCTGGGGCCAGGGTAGTTCATTCTCAGGCTGCGTCAGAAGGTGCAGTGTTGGGGGCACACAGGCTGGACCCCAAAGTGACAATAAGTTAGGGGGAGAGTCTCAGACTGATCTCAGGCTGGAGTCAGGGCGGGGTGCCACTGGGACCCCCCAGAGCCCTGCCGGCTGCCCAGCTCAGGGCTCCCAGGAGAGGTTGGTTCCAGGACAGGCATGGCTTCATGCTGAAACAACAGGGCAGGGGAAGGAAGGGGTTTCGAAGTCAGGAGGTCAGCAGGGCTCAGAGGGCTCCCCGAAGGAGTCAGAGGATAGGGCTGGGGGGGCGGGGCGGGGCGGGCGGGGCCTCTCACCGGACCCTCAGTTAAGCCCCTACAGATTCTCATAATCTGGAGCTCCCTCTTCCTCTTCGTAGTCCTCATCCTCCACCTTCTGGGAGCTCAGGGTGGCTGGGAGGGGAGGGAGGGAGGTCTTCAGCTCACAGACCGTCCCAGTCCCCCCTTCCCCCCACCCCCTGGCGGGCTCCCAGAGCTTCTGCCACCCCCGCCCCCCCATCCCCTCCCCCAGCCCAGCACACACCAGGCTCGGTCCTAGCCATGGGCGGCAGCTCCTGGGACACGTTCACATACTCCCGGCTCCCATCTGCAGGGGGCAGAGCAGAAGGGGGGGCGGCCACGTGGAGGGTGAAGAGAGCAGGACACTCAGAAAGAGGGCCACAGCAGGGTGAGGGAGGGAGGGGGGGGACCCCAGCGGGCACCGGCCACTCACCCAGAGACACGTCTGCACTCTCCTCGCTCTCGAGGACATTCACATAATCCTCCCCCGACTCCACTGTAGGAGAAGCAGGGCCCCCAGCACTGTCACCCAGGGCCCCCCTGAGCACAGACCCCCACGGCATCCCAGCCCCAAACCACCCCCCCCCACAGATCCCAGAGGCCGCCCCACAGCCAGCCCCAGGGGGGCCCACAGAGGCCTTGGTGCCAGCACGAAGTAGGGCAACCTGGCCAGAGCTGATGAGAGGGAGTGGGACTGTGGGAGAGGGCGGACGGCAGGCCCCGGCGTGTCCCCCCGGAGAGCGGCTCGGCGCCGAGGCTTGGGGTGACACCACGAGTACCGGGTGCTGTTGCCCCCCTGGCCCTGTCAGCACCTGTCGCCATGGGTGCCATCTTGGCCTTTAATGCGCACTTGTTTCTCCACGAGGGGGGTCGTGGATGAGGCAGGCTTTGGAGCCAGAGGGCCCAGGTTCAAGTCCGGCTCCGGCGCTCACAGTCATGTAACCTCACACGAGATACCTAACGCCTCTGGGCCTCGGTGTTCTCATCAGGAAGAGAGGGTGGGCGACGGCCCCCGCCTCCCAGGGCTGTTGTGAGAACTAATGCAGAGAGTATCGAAAGGGGGCCTGTCCTACGGTAAGTGCCGCCGAGTGTCTGTTAAATAAATGATCCCTCTTGTCGTACAGTCGGGACAACCGAGGCACAGGAGGGGGAGAGATGGGCTCAACAGCACCCGGGCATTGTGGGGTTTAATAAGTTAACACACGAAGCGCTCTTAGGAGGGCAGGTGGTTGGCCCCCGACAACGTCGGCTCTTACCCTCATGCTGCCTCCTGAGCTGGAGGGAGGGACGATGAGTCCATGAATGAAAAGAAGCACTAGCACAGACGGCAGTGGGCACCCACACGGGCAGAGGAAGCCAGGGTGGAACAGGTACGGAGAACGAGGACAGGGACGGAAAACCAGACACGGAAGGCAGCCTCTAACAGGCAGCGTGAGACCAACATGAAGGGAGAAAAGCAGCTCAAAGGAAACCGAAATGATGCCGGAAGCAAAAGAAAACTTCCCAAACCCCCCCGGCCCCCACAGCAGAGTGGCTATAATCAATGTCCTTGGAGAGCGACAAGCTGACGCGGCCTCCGTGAAACCAGACAGGAGGCTATGAGAAAGGAACACCAGAGACCAAGAAAGAGCTTCCAGTGGGAGAGACAAGAGAAGAAAAGTGAAGTCAAAGAAAGCGCGCAGGCAATAAAAGGGAAAGACAACGGAACAGGAAAGAGGCCAGAAAAAGTGAGGAACTCAGAGGAGCTGAGCAGAAGTCCACCCTGAGGGATAGGTGTTGGAGAGAGAGAGAGGAGAGGCGTGGGGGGGGGGGGCGGCGAGCGGTCAGGGGAATCGCGGGACAGGGAAGCACGAAGGGGTCGCGCCCAGAGTCGGGAATGGCTGGCTCACTGGAGAAGGCGCTGTCTCGGAGGCCAGGGTTGCTGGGCACAGGAGCCAGTGGCACAGCACTGCTAGTGGCTGGCGTGCTGTCGGGAAGCACCTCCCTGAGGGGCAGTCGGGGGGCGGGTCAGTGAGGGCCCCCGGGCCACGGCCCCCTCCAGCCCCCCGACCCCCGGCCCCGGCCTGGCCGCTCACAGGTAGCCCTCATTGTGATAGTCCTCCTCCTCGTCCTCGTCCTCGTCCTCACAGGCGGGCTCTGGGGTAGCGACACGGCGATCAGCGGGGCCCGGGCCAGGCCCTAGCCTGCCTGCAAGCGGGGCACCTGGGGCCCCAGACGTACCCTCGTTCTCGTAGCTTGCCACACTGTTGGCTTCGGAGAGCGAGCAAGAGGGAAGCTGGGTCAGCTCGGGTGGGATCCATCCCCTGCCCAGCCCCAGCCCTCTGAGCCCTGGCTCCGCACTTACCACCAGCTGAGTCCGGCCGGGAAGATAGCATGCGGTGGGGCTGTGGGGACCTCCTGGCAGTCAAAGGTCAGAGGTCATGCCTGGGTGGGGCTCTGGGGCAACAGGGGTTGCAACCGGGAAAAGAGACCCCCCCCCTGCCAGTCTACAGAGGTGAAGGGGGGAAAGAGGGGGAATTTGGGAGCGGGGATGCCACTTACGGGATAGGGAGCAGGTCCGGCTGGCTCAGGGGTGGGTAGGAGGTAACAGGAGCGTAGGAGGTGGCTGATGGCCAGGGCACGACCGTGGCTGAGGACACAGGACCAAGCTCAAGGAATGAGTCCTGACATCTCGCCCCTGTCCTCACGGAGGCCTCCATGGACAGACTAACCCCATGAACCGTCCCATGCCCTGGACAGGCCCTAGGAGACCCATCTCCCTCCCCGTCCCCAGCTCAGGTCAAGGCCATGTGGGCAGCCACTGGGGGGGGGGGGGGGACCTGAACAAAGGCACATGTTCTCTCACACACCAAGGGACCCTCTCCCCTATGCCCGAGGAAGGGGACCCTCTGTACTCACGAGGCCGTTTGAGCACAATGCTGCTTGGGGTCAGGCTGGAAGGAGAGACACAGCTTGGTCAGAGCCCGGAGACGCCCCCAGCTCCCATCCCAGTCCCCGGGGCCACACAGGGCCCACGGGCCACTCACCTATCAGAGGCCGCAGTGTCATAAGAGCCTGGGGAAGAGAAGACAGTGAGGCAGGACGAGGGGTGACAGGGGAGAGGGCGGGAGTGCAGGGCCCTCGGGTCCCAGGCACGCAGGGCAGAGTTAGGGATGGCTAAGAGGGAGCGAGGGGTCAAGGAGGGCCGGATACCCCTGCAGCTGTGCCCCGGGCAGCCCCCACTCACCGGGCAGCTCCCTGCAGCGCACGCACAAGGCTACAGCCAGCAGGGGCAGCAACAGGAGGCCCAGCACGCAGGGGATGAGGACGACAGCCTCCATCTGCGGGAGAGAGCTGGGGCCCACCGCCCGCCCTCAAGGGCCAAGCCGCTGCACCGTGAGGGCTGGGCCAGCGGGGGTGCGGGAGCCCAGTGGGCACCAGCCTGGAAGTCTGGGTGGGGGGCAGCTGTGCCCTCCTTGGGCCCTCCCTGGGCCCCCTCCCCTTGCTGGACGGCGCAGGGGGTCAGCGCTGGCTGGGGAAGACCGGAGATCCCAGGGCGGTCCGGCCAGGCTCTGGGCTGCCGGTCGCCCCTGCGCAGCCCCTGCGCCCCAGCCCTACCTGCCCCTCGGCTAGGCGCCTGCTGTTCCCCAGTGCCTGCCCGCCTGTGGCAGGAAGCTGTGGTGAGCCCCGACGAGGGCAGGAAATCATCGGCCCCGGCTGGGTGCGCCCGCCCCCTTCCCACCCCCACCCAGCCAGTGAGGAGGGGGAGGAAGAGGCCTGAGGAGCCACCCCCAAGGCCCTCACAAGGAGTCTGCTGGCCTCCAGGACAAGGAGCAACTCCCACCAGGAGAAGGAGGGCAAGACACTTAGAGGCCAGCCAACAGCCACAGCCTCCACAGCCCCGGCTCCAGGCAGCAGCCAGGAGGGAGGCCCTGGGAATTCGGGCGGGGGGGGGGGGCGGGGCAGTGCCCACCCCACCTTACCCTGGCTGGCCTGCCAAGAGGGGCGGGCTCCAGGGGAACCACGGGCGTGACTCACGGTCACACTGAGCTAGCTCCCTCCACGCTCTTGTTCGCCCGGCCCAGGAGGACAGGGATTTGCCGAAGGTCCCACAGGAGCGACCCCACAGCCCCGGGAGTCCTGTGCCTAGGGAGGGGGCATCCCTGGCAGCCTACCAGTCAGGGGTCAGTAACACCCAGAGAGACTCAGGCAGGCACTCGGGCTCTGGCTACAAATTTTATTCAGTTACAAATAGCACCAAGCCCCTGGGGCTGCTCCAGGGGAGGGGAACCCCCCTCCTGGACCCGCCGCCACCCCAGACCCACCACCGCCCCCTCCACCCCCCGCCCTTGGCTGCTGTCTGTGTAGTGTGTGGAAGCTGGAACGTGGCCCAAGGCCACTCCTAGAAGCTGGGCCAGGCCGAGGGTTTGGGCCTGGGCTCCTTCCGGGTGGGCCCAGGCCAGCCGTGGTAGGTATGCAGGCTGGTGAGCAACGGCCCCTCAGATGAGCACACTGGACACGGGGACCCGGGTGGAGCGGCCTCGCTGGGGCACCACGATTCGGTCGTCTGTTGGCCCTGCCTCACGCAGCAGACCTGCCGAGGGGAGAGGTCAGAGCCAGGGCTGGATGGACAGAGAGACACAAAGCCAGGGAGGGGACCGAGAGGCAGTGGAAAGTGGACGGGGCAGCAGAGCCACCAGAGCTGGGGGCACGGTGGGACGTCAGCTCGGTGGACAGGCAGACCCAAAGCTGACCGCGGGAAGGGCTGTGGGCTGAGAGAGGCCGAGGACACGGGCCGGGACAGATGGACAGACGGACAAGCAGGTAGTATCGTGAAGTCGGGTGGGGAGCCACGGGCGGACAAAGGGAAGGCCCCACTGACCCTGCACATGCAGCTGGGCCCACCGGCGGTCCCCCTCGATGAAGATGGCGGTGCCCAGAAAGGCGGCCCCACCCAGAGCCCCAACGAAGGCGCAGAGCATGAGCGAGAACTGCAGGGCCCGGAACTCGGACAAGAAGGAGGGTGGCCAGTTCCGGCGGAGGTGGTCGGAGATCTGCAGGGAGACAAGAAAAGGAAAGTCAGGAGCATGAGTCAGGAGAGGGATCCCCCGAGCTCCAGAAGAACAAAGAAGTCAGGGACCAGCAGAGAGGGGTGGTCTGGAGGACCAGGGAAAGCCCCGTGGCCTCACTGTGGAACATGCAAAGACGAAACGCTGCCTGCCTGGCTGACGGCCCAAGGTGAGGGGGGAGTGGGGCCTGGCACAGAGCACAGACACCTCACTGGGGTCAGCCCTTCCTGCTAAGGCAGCCCCAGCTCAGGCCGGGGGCTGGTGCCAGGAACACAGGGTCCCCCGATCCCCACCCCAGGCCCACCCGAGGGGCGGTGCTCACCAGGCCAATGAGGTAGGGGCTCCCAGCATCGCCCAGCAGGTGGGACAGCACAATCTGGAAGGCCTCGGCAGTGGAACGACGTGTGGGGATCACCACGTACTGGGGAGAGAAGGGGGCAGAGTGCAAGGACAGGGCCAGAGGGAACCCCAGCTCAGGGATGTGAGTGGGGTGAAGGCCCAGACTACAGGCCCATCTGGGGCTGACTCTTAAGTCAGTCTGGGTTTGGGTTTTGAAAAAGCGGTGAAGGCTACAAGGAAGGCAAGCGAGGCCTCCTGCCCCCACTCCTTGCTCCCGTCAGCCTTTGGGCTAACCCTGCAGTGACCCACTTACTTACCAACAGGATGTCAGCTACAATGGCCCAGTTCATGGACAGCAGTGTCTCTCCAATAAAGATGAAAATCTGGGGGGATGGAGGGCAAGACCAGGGTGGGGGGGTGGGGGGTGGTCTCATCACAAGAAGACCGAACACATGGAGGGTATACTGCGTACTAGGCCCATCTATTCACTAATTTAATCCTCAGAACACCCCTGTGAGACAAAGCTATTATTCCTATTTGACAGATGATGAAACTGAGCACAGAGAGGTTAACTTGCTTGCCCAATGTCACACAGCTGGGAATCAAAACCAGGCATTCTGGTTCAAGTTGTCTCCAAACCACCACCTTGGTTGACCCCAGTCTTGCCCCAGTGCACCCCAGTCCTACCCCAGTGCACGCCAGACCCAGAACACCCCCTTTGACAGCTGCTGGCTACTCACATAGGTGGCCACGATGCTACCACGGGCACAGGCAAGGGACAGGAAGAGGAAGGGCGCGGAGCCCAAGAGGCCAGCAGCACAGACCAGTGGGTCAGCCCGGGGGTTGGAACGGCGGAGGCGGCGGCTGATCTCCACGCCCAGGCCCACACCCAGGACCCCGGTCAGGCAGGTGATGAGCCCAAAGATGAGGCTGGGGGCAGGGGGAGGGGCATGGGGGCCAGTCCCTCTGCCTGCAAAGCCCCCTTGCCTCACCCCCACAGCCTGGAGAAGAAGATGGTCCATCCCAGCCACCCTCACAACTCAGGTCTATCCAGGACCCCACGGGTCATAGAGCTCCAAGAGGAAGAAATCAGCCCATCCATCACCTATTTCCCAGCCCAGGAAACTGACACTGGGACAGGAAGTAGCCTGAGTCTGAATCAATGACTCTCTCCACTCCATCCCCTGCCACCTGCAGGCCACCTAGCCTCGCCCCCATCTGGTACCTGTCAGAGGAAGAGCAGGAGTCTCCAGGAAGGCAGGGTGGGGTCTCCCCCAAGACCACACGGGAACGCAGCAAGAACGCAGGAGCCCAAAGGGCCAGGGAGCCCGTGACAAAGGCCACAGCCGTGAAGCCAAGGGAAGAGAGGATGAAACTAGGACTGCAGACAGTTGGGAGGGAGGAAGTCAGACTGACACTCCTGAGGTGTCAGGGTAGGGGACCTCTCCTCTCCCTCCCTGGCTTATTTTAGTAAGGTCAGGACACTAGCTATGGAAGCCGTCTTGGCTCCCCCGGATCTGAGCCTGTAATTCAAGCAGCTGCCACAAGGGGGCAGTGGTGACTGAACGCCTGGCCTTGGGGGGCCGGCCAGCGGACAGAAAACCGAGACCAACCACTCTCCTGTAAACCTCAAACCCAACAGCAGGGCCTCCCCCAGGGGACCTCAGATGTCGGGCTAGAATGGAACTAAACTCACTTTCTTGCCAGAGCCCTCAGATCTGCCCACCAGGAGGTGGGGCTGAGGGGCGGGGAGTCCGAGTGGCGCTCCACAGCTCCCCTTGGCGGCTCCCGTACTACCAGGAACAGCAGCAGAACAGCCACCACCCCTAGACCTGGAGTCACCTGGGGAAAGAGTGGGCTTCAGGACAGGCACAGACAGCGACACACTGAACCCCTGGGGCTGGGAGAAAGTGAGGGTGTATAAAGGCAACTCAGGCCCCAAGGCCTCAAATCCCTGGCAGCTATCTGCTCACGGGCGGGCACTGAGCCTGCATTCCGAGGGAGGGGCAAATGCCACCAAGGGCGCCTGTTTCTGCAAGCCTAACTTCTCCCTCTTTGGTAACAGCGCCCTAATTTCCTTTTGGGAAACGACTCCCCCCACTTCTCTTAATCCATGCGGTTCAAACAGGGCGGGGTTTGTAGCCCAGACTTGGCCGACAAGAGTCATGTTAACCTCCCTGGCCTCCGTGATCGATTCAGTGCCGGGCATGTGACCCACGTACATCTAATCAGATACCATCCAGGACTATTGCTCAAGGATCCAGGGTGCCGAAGTTTCTAAACGGGAAGATAAATGCATGGAGCTTTCACTTGCTTGAGAATGAAATTAATACAGAGGAAAGTAGAGCTGAGAAAAAGGATGACTGAATTCCTGTGATGAAGTGGGAGTCCTGGATCCAGCTTTACCTGAAGCTCACCCTGGGACTCTCCATTACAAGAGCCATCAGAGTCCCATTTGGGGGCTTACAGTTTTACGGGGCGCCTGTCTCCCACAACCAAGAGTTCTGTCTAGCACATGGCTCGTGGTAAGGGCAGCCAGGCTTCCTACACAGGCTTGGCAGAGTGAACGCTGCCTTAAAAGGGGTGGGTATCTGAAGGTAAGAAAGGGAGAATCGATGAGAACACTGCTGACCTTCCCCCAGGCTGTGTCCACACTCACCCGCAGAGCCCAGTGCCAGTCCCCGGCCACATCCTTGACTTTGGAGCCTGCAATGTAACCCAGACCACTGGGGAAAGGGGATGGGAGAGGAGAGGGGACAGCTGGTCAGTCCTGCCCCACGCCAGGTCCTTCTGCCTCCCGTGCTCCGCCCCCCGCCCCCCGCCAGGTCCAAGGCCCACTCACCTGCCCACCGGGATAGCAAAGTAGAACACACTGAGCATCCGGCTCCGCTGGTCTGCCACGAAGAGGTCAGCGATGAGGGTGGGCGCGATGGTGGAGTAACTGGCCTCCCCAACCCCCACCAGGCCCCGGGTCAGGAGGAGCAGCCAGAATCGCTGGGAAACGAAACATGGGGGAGGTGGCACCCCACCCTGCAGCAAGCCTCCCAGCCTCCCTCGCCAGCCAGCTCTGGAGAGGCGGCAGGGATGGCGGGGGAGGCCTGAGCTTGACAGACCTGAGCCTGAATCCTGGCTCCACTACTTACTAGCTGTGACTTTGAGAAAGCAACTTAACCTCTCTGAGCCTCAGATTCCTCATCTGCAAAAGGGGGAAAATAATAACTTGCTCACATAACTATCGCCAGGATTGGACAATACAAGTTCTATTCAACATGCTGCACCCAGGAGGTGCAAAATAAATCTTGACTTCTATCACCCAAGACACCCCAATGGTGAATAAGGATCTTAGGCAGAGGTTTGTCTACCAAAGACACCTGAGGCTAAGGACAGGGTAGGATCACCCACGGAGAGTACGTATGCAGTGCCTGCAGCTAGGGACAGACTTCCAGGGCAGAGAGTAGGAACAGAGGAGGGCGCAACACAGCAAAGAAGCAATAGCCAGGGAGGCAGGAGGAAAACCAGAAGAGTGGCATATGCGGCATCACTGAAGTCAGAAGAGAGTTTCCGGAAGGAAGAAGGGGGTCAATAGAGCCAAAGGCTCCTAGGAGATCTAGCAAGAGCAGGATTAGGAAGTAGGAGCTCCATTTAGCAACCAAAAGGTCGCTGTTGACTTTGGCAATGGAGTGGTGGGGGCAGGTTGGCCAGCAGTATTCCGGGGTGAGTGGGAGGAG